TCAGGATCCCTTCTATGTAATTGAGTCTACCCGTGTAGTGCTAAGTGATGACTACACTTATGAAGAACGGCCTATTCAGATTGTAAACCGACATATCAAGAAGTTGAGGAACAAATAAATTCCATTAGTGAAAGTGGACTGGCAAAACCATGGTGGCATTTATGCCACTTGGGAAAGGGAAGACGATATGATGAAAAGATATCCGGAATTGTTCCCCCTGAATCCAGTATTCTTCCAAAATGAAGGTAATCCGAGGTTGGAGAACCAAACTCTTTTAAGGAGGGAAGACTGTAACAACCTTCACCTCTGATTAGTGCTAAACTGTGTTTAAGCATGATAAGTAACTGATAAGAATGATATCCTGAATCGATTGTATGAGTGTGTTGTTTTGAATGCATTTCTATCTGTTTGATTTCTAAATGAATCTGTTCATGTTTTAATTTCGAACTGCGAATTGAAGGTCTTATCGGCGACCGAATCAGAAATCAATTAGTGTTATATGCTAATTAGGATTTATGTGATTTTATGGTAGCTTTAATTAAAATTCGATTTGGAATGGTTAAATTAGATTAAATACTGTTATATCACACTAGTTTGGCTTTATTACATGTCTGCCACTAAGTGGATTATTCTAGGCCATTCACCTAATCTTGATTCACCTGTGTTTGATGCATCATTTGCTCACCTTCTTGAGACCAAAACCGAGAAAGAGAGGGAGAGTAGGAGAAAAATTGATTTCAACAAGAATTAGCTTCGAGACTTAGAAGAATTGAGGGGAATTTGCATATTTGAACTTCCACATCTAGAATTCAAGGCATAAGGTAGAGATTTCATCCTGTCAATTGTGAATTTAAGTTGTTTCTTACATGGTTCATGGAAATATTGGAGGTTAAAGTCAAAAATTAATTTGAAGAGTTGAATTGTGAGCTAATTCATGCATACATGTACATATTCTTGCATTTTGAGGTTGTTTTCATGAAAACTCTTACATGCATGTTCATATTTTGGTAGAGGTCCATCAATTCACCATGATTTTGAGCTCAACATTGCATTTGATCTTGCTTTTGAACACTAGAGCTCTTGAAAACTCATGTATATATGATTTTGCATTATTCTTCGTATTTGCACTTAATTTTATGTTCAATTAGCTTACTTTTGGGCTTGATTTCATAAATTGATCTTTGAAACATGTTGTACTATGAGTCTTCAAGTGTTTTCCAAAAACTTAGCCCAAAAGAATCGAGTTTGAAGCTTTAGAAGTTGAATTTTGTGCTTGGGAATCAATCTGGAAATTCCAGATTTTGGATCCACGCTCGAGCGTACACTTTGAGTACATGCACTTCCGCTCGAGCGTAGGAAGTCACGCTCGAGCATGAAATGCATATGCCCAGAAGTTCATATGTTTTGCAGTCTGCTCGAGCGAGAGAATTCACGCTCGAGCGAGGGTCTAAGTCTCACGCTCGAGCGGAGGTCGAGCGTGAAAATCGTGCATCCAGTACTTTTTCATGAGTTTACAGTCCGCTCGAGCGAGGGAAGTCATGCTCAAGCGGAGCTCCTTTGTCTGCATGTCCGTTCGAGCGTAGAAAGCCACGTTCGAGTGAGACCCCTGTTTCAGCAAAATTTTGAAAAGTATTTTAAGGTATATTTTTGCATCCTCATTCCATCCTAGGCATTCCTAGGCCATGTTTAAGGCATCTTAATGAGGATAATGTTATAGAACCACACCAGTATAGTTAGGAGCTAAGTTATTAATCCCGAGTGTGTGTTCGTTCTGCAACTGTAGGGTTGGCATCCGAGAATGCTCATTAGCTGCCTGTAACCCAGTACTCTGTGAGTAACAATGTTGTAAAGATACGTTCAATTATAATTATTTCTAAATGATTGATTATACTGCTTTCTGAAATAGCATCGTTTACTGAATGAATGTTTGTCCTATTTGTAAACTTTATTCGTGACATCCATAGCAACTTACTGTTACTGCTACTGTTACAGAGATCTCTGTCGGTTCCAATGTTGGGACCACTACTGTTTACTGTTTGATGGCCATCAACTGGTTGTTCGGTCTGTCAAGACCTACTGTACTGTTTTGCTATTGGATGTACCACATATAACTATTATGGTTTTTGAATAACTATTATGGCATGAAATATGAGCCACTGATTGAGTAACTGTTTTACTGATACAATTGACGGTTTTAATTACTGAAAGGACATTCATTCTTAACCCCTTTACGCATATGTTATTCATTGGGATTTAGCTCACTGTTTATATTTATATGTAGGTGTCCAGGCACCGGACCGATGCTAGGAGCGTCAAGTTAAGCTCCCGTTTTGTCAAGCCAACCTTTGTGCATCACTTTGAGGTTCCATGTCTGTTCAAGCTAGGACTGCTCTGGGGTGTCTCAGTTCCACTCTTCTGTCTCTGTTTTGTAATAAGTGTTTAAGACTTGACTGTATAGTTTTGTGGAAGGGACTTGGTCCCAAACCCGGATGTTGTGTTTATGACGTATATATATATGTTGGTTTATCAATGTGGCTCGTGCATAAAGTCTTTTTGCATTCAGGTTTTCACAATTCATTGGACATCTTTTATTTACTGTTTTGGCTTTCGCAAGCCCCTCTACTTTGTATTATTGTCATTACTGTTAAGCAGGTCTTTGGTAATCACGGATTACTAGCCGGTTACGATGCTAAATCCATAGGGGCAGGTTTGGGTCGTGACACACAGGCTGAGCCAGAAATCAAAATGATGGCCCAGGCCCAAGCGTAGGGACTCGAATCGGGCTCAGATCCAGACCCAAATGAGACAGGGCCACCTTGGGACGCGAGCGGGTTTCGGGTGTCTCACGGGCTGTGGGTCATTTTTACACTCCCATAAATAACGAAGTTTACAATAAATAAACTACCAAAATAATCCAAACTCAAGTAAGAAATAAAAAGGTGAACAAATGGTAACAAAATATCACTTAAATATCATTATTTTCTCATTTTTAATTACGAAATTGCTAATCAAACTTGTATAATACTTTTCAATGGATAAAATTGTTACTCCATTCAATTTTTCTTGTTACACAGTTGACCGAAAGCAAAAATTAATTAACTTTAAATTAAAAAAGAAAATTCTGCATAAACAATTCTAACTAATCTAATTAATCATATTCTATCTAAAATTCCTGTGTTTGAGAAACTACCATCCTTAATTCTAAATAATCACGATATCAATTGAATTTTTAATTTTTTTGGTAAAAACAATTGTCAATTAGTATTAAATAATTCAACACATCAACTATTTATTAGTTTTAAAATTTCACCAAATTTTATTTGGGTCTTCTAAATTCAATTTTTTTTTTTATTTTTTTATTTTTTAAGGGCAAATTATACTGGCACTCTCTGAGGTTTATGTTTATTATATCTCTCCCATCACCTTTTGGAAATTATATCTCCCTCCTTGAGGTTTAAAGTTTCATTACAGATTCGTCCATCAGCAAATTAATTTTTTTTAATACCAATTTTGCCCTCACTAGGTAAGTTATATTAACACCCCTCACATTTTAGAAATTACAATCCCCTCCTTAAGGTTTAAAGTAGTATTACCAATTGCTCCTTGGTTAGTATTAGTTGGAAAAAAAATTCATTGAAAAAAAATTAATTGGAAAAAAAAAATTTTGAAAAAAAAAATTAATGGAAAAAAAATTTGTGAGTAAAATTTTTAATTTCTGTTTAAAAACTAATGTAAACTCATTTTTTGAATTTATATTATTTCCTCAAATTTACAAACTGAAACAACCATTTATAAATCAAAAAAATTATCAAATAAGTTTTTATGATAGTTTTTTAAATTATCAAAAAAATGGTCCAAACATGTTTCTTGGAGTGAGGTCGTCTCTTGGCGTAGTTTCGTCAGCGACTGTCGGAGGATTTTCCGTTACGCCTGCCATGGATGTGCTTGAGTATTCTCATAGACGGCGTCAATTGTGGAAAAGTGGTTTGGAAATACTCTGGGATCCTGAAGGACGTTCCTGATCCTCTGATTGCCACATGAAAAAGGAATTAATACTCCGATCGGGGGTGTCAGAATTAGCACTCCGACGGACAAGTTAGTATATGCTCTTTCGTTTGCTTGTGTCTTAAGTTTACTTAATCTGATCTCACATACATCTCTTTGGTTGATATTTCTCTTATTTATCCTCGTCCCTGGTCTTGGGGGTCGGTCCCACTTTTAATCTAGAGCAAAATTGCTCACTCGGCCTCTCTATGGTGTGCCTATTCCCACTCGGCTTGTTGTATGGCTGATTATATGGCCGATTCTATTATTCGGCTTCAGGACCCTCCAAGACAGAGCTGAATAGTATATATTCTGATTTCCTTCAAGTATATCTGGTTTTCCTACATGTAAGTTTATTCGGCTCCCACAGTAAATAAACCAAAAAATTAAATAAGCTATTGGGAACATAACCAATTAATTCCTACTTTTTCTAAATCAATTTTCTGTTAGGACAATTTACTTTAAATAAATTGTTTCAAAATACTAAATTAATAATATATTTTCTTTCAGTTTTACCCTTTTCCATCTATGTTAATTACACTTCTATTCATGATTTAATGATCAATTTTAGTAAAAAATGGTAAATAGGATCTCGAAAATTAGAGACAAGATTTGGACATCAAATCTATATGTAAAACATGAAAAAATTAATGGTGACTTCTTTTTTATTTTTTTTTAATGACAAATAAGAAAATTTATTGATGAAAAATAGAGTACAAGAAGTACAAAAAAAAAAAAAAAAAAAGATCAATAAAAGAAGATATTCCAACTAGGTTAGTACATGAAAGCAAAACCAAACATATGCAGAACCAACAGCCACACAAAATTCAATCAGTCTTTCTTTTTTTTTAGAAAAAATGGACTAATTAATAATTTTCCCTAAAATTTTCTCATCAGATTATAAATATCTTTTTTTTAGATGGTATAAAAATATCTGTTTTGATATTTGTTATTTTTGTTAATAACAAATCAGTCACGCGGGTCACCACAAATGATCTCCGTTCACATCTATTCTAACAGTCAAGCAGTCTCTCCCCTTTCTTCTCTCTACTTCTCTTCCTCTGCATTCCTCCATCAAATTCGAACCATTCATCAAATCATGGGATGCCACGTGGTGGCAATGCCTTATCCAGGTAGGGGCCACATCAACCCAATGATGTGTCCGACAATCTTCACTGTATTTAAAAAAATTAAATTCTGTTATGTACAAAACACCAACAAGAATATAAAGAAATAAAGAAAATGAGAGAATTTGTTTGATTACAAAAATCAAACTCGAAATAAAAATAAATAAATAAAACCACAGATTTTATTTTGTTACAAAAACAAAAATAAAATCTGATTAAATAAACAAATAAAAAACAGAATAAAATTAAACAACTTACTTGAGGGATATATTTTTGTAGTACCGGTCGGGCGGACGGGCTGGGCTTGGGCGCGGGTGCGTGGTGTGTGGTTGGGTTGGGCTTCTAATCTTTTTGGGCCAAAAA